CAAGCTCTGTCCCGCCATTTCCACCCACTATGCCCGGGACCAACTACGGTCCATTGTCCACAGGTTCAAATCCTTCTCCTGGTGTTCCTGGTTCGTATCTGTCGGCTGAATTGCATTCTCAACCCCATCTGCCGTCTGCCAAGATTGGATACACAGATCCGATCACAGGTCTACCGTCCCGGTCCACATACTCTGGTTATTCGACGCCAAATACCAATCCTGATCCGTTCAGTGGACCGTATAGTTAATATGTAATAGACGTTATTTTTCCTAATGCCCTAAAATATACACGCTTATCATTACTGTTTTTCAACTCTGATTTTGTATTGCCATGAACTGTAAGCTATTCACTTCACGTGTGACTGTGTATGTCTGTTACATTTCACGAATGCCCCTTTTTATAGATCATACTAAATACAGCGCTGCTCATTGTGACATTGTGACATTTAATCCCCATGTATCGCTAAGACATTTTCTCTTATTGTGGTAACCTACTATGTGACAACTATGCTAGGCTTTTCTTAACGTTGGGCGAACAGTGACCCAGTAGCCCATACCATTGCATCGTCACTGGGAGTGTCCCCATCACGACGAGACTACACCTTGACGTGGTGTGATGGCTTGTGCACCTCTGTGACCCAATGCGCTACACAGAATGGCTTTTGTCAGCCCAGGAGATATAGTCATGCCTGGAGATCAATGGGTAGAGGTCAGACAAGGTTCACTCTCCTGGTCCTCCAGGTTGGGGGTTCGCCTGGAATTTGGCGTTTCAGTCAATAAAAAACGGTGGAGGAGTAATCGATCCAAGTAAATGGGCCTCCACTTCGCCTCACCCGCTGCCTTGCGGTTGGGTTCTTGTAAGAACTAAAGGCTTTGGAACGAGAACCCGAATCGTTCTCCTTAGTGGCTCGACACCCTAGCAGTACCCGTCCAACAAACCCCAATGCATACACAAAATAANGTGGAGGAGTAATCGATCCAAGTAAATGGGCCTCCACCTCGCCTCATCCGCTGCCTTGCGGTTAGGTTCTTGTTAGAACTAAAGGCTTTAAACGAGAACCCTAATCGTTCTCCTGCTTAGTGGCTGGACACCTTAGCAGTACCCATCCATCAAACCCCAATGCATACACAAAATAAAAATAATTTCGTGCTGCATTGGTCGTCGCGCAGGATAATCAGGACCGCGCTGCCTATTGCATCGAGCGGG